ACAAATTTTAATTTTAAGAAGTGTATGGTTTCATTTTGTCAAGCACATCAGTATTTGTAACACTCCTAATTCAGCTACGGTTGAAAATGTGAAAGCATCTGTATCTACTCCATGAATCTGGCCCCTGGGCGGTCCAGTGTTGCTCCCCAAAGGCCTGTGAGGCCCCATGTCCCCCAGCCTCTCTGCAGAGAGGACTAGGGCCTCCCTGGGCAGAGCTGCCATGACCCCGGTGTATATCCTGGATTTTGAACTTGGAAATGTGACGTTGGAGGCAAACACGTCCAAACCCAAACTGTCATGAGAAATCATGAAGAAAAAGGATTGGTGAGTCAGACTGTGTGCCTAAAATGCTGCCTGATGTTATTGGCTGGAGCAAATTGACCTTATTTCCAACATCTTCTAGGCTCCATGCCCACTTCAGTTTTCTGTAATGTGATTGCAGTCATGGTGCCCAGCTCCGCGTGACATGTCATTGCTGGGACATTGTTCCATATATTATAAGGAAGCTTTCCTCCTTGTAATCACAATGTTTTCTAGTGATTCCTTTTCTCCTTTCTCTCTTTTGGGAGAGTCAAGTTGAGCAGTTTGAAGGTGGAGCTTTTACTGACAGCTCTCCTTCATTTGCATTCTGATTGCTCTTTCAAGTGGAGGAGAAAAGGGGAGGAATTATTGCCCATCTGCAGGGCATTATGGTGAGTGGCACAGGGGACTGTATCCCACGTATGAATGTCATCTGTCACAAGCGACAGCAGAAAGGAGATGCGGAGTGGCCACACTGCATGACAGGTCCTGTGGAGCAACTCTCATCTCTGCTAAAAGGGTTTTTGTTTGTTGATTTTGTTTATTTGCTCAAATAACTCTACATGGATACGTCTGTGGATGGATTTCTTTACAAAGCAATGTCTAAGCGACAGAGTAGTGTACAGTGTGTAATGAATGGTGTGACAAATTCAGTGAGTGTCAGTAAGTTTACATTTTTGTATCTACGTTACCTGTAGTAGCAGAACTGGTGTGTGATGTTCTGTCATTGGGTTCATGAGCAACACGTGAGTCTTACTGTTTTCTTTTTGGTTTTGCCATTACAGCTGATGGATTCTGAAAATGTCTCCCTTCTTAGTGAATGTTCACGGTGGAACAGCCACAAAATTATTAATTCTTTGCTTCTACTAAAATTAACACAGATAATACAATAAATACATTTTTGTTGGAATCTCATCTTCAGGAAGCCTGAAGTTTGATCATATGTAAAGCTTGAGGATGTCAGATGATTAGTGTTAGAAAATTGTTGGTGTATTTTTTTTCCCTAGTCGGGATGAACCAGGCCGATTTACAGGGTGAGGGATAACTTCGGTTACTTTGAAAGTAAATGACTATAAAGGCAAACGTTTACTCTCATTCCTAGGTTTGAATCTACAAGAGTGTTTTCCAGCTTTCTTCTTCCTCGGGTAGGGGAGTGTCACTGATGAGTGGGTGGCTGTCAGGTGGATGGCAGGTATCGTGTTTCCGTGGTGGCTTCAACCAGGGGCACTAGCTCTTGGTGTTTGGTGTCTGAAAGCTGTGTGTGAACTACAGAGAGCCCTCCTGAGCCATTGCCCGTGTTAATCATTTTAGGCCTATGCCTGTGGGGCCTTTAGTAGTATGCGTGGCAAAGATTCTACCACCGGCTCAATTGGAAAAGGTATTTGAGACATCAGTTCAGGCAGATGGCTTCTGTCTTAAGCCTTCTTTCTCTAACAAATGAATAAAAACTAGACTTTGGGTTTCAAAAAAGATCCCTTTTTTCCACCATGCATTCTTAGTACTGATGCTTCTTAGGTCTCCGTTGTATCCCAGTTCCTCTGCTGCGGCGGGCAGGGTCCAATCTGAGGTGTGCTCCAGCCTTCTCCTCACTGCCCTTTTGCACCTCCACAAAGGATTGTTTCCGCTGGTTAATTGTGTTTAAATCACCGCGAGTGCTTCCAAGCATCCCTAAGGGTCACCTGGAATCAGCCGTGGCCTCCTGGGGTGGGGGGATGTCTAAACAAGCAGGTCTGTGAGAGGCAGGGTGCTGAGGGGCAGGAACACAGGCCTGTGTCCGCTGAGCACACCCAGACCACAGTTCTTGCTTTACTGCGAAAGGCGGCCGTAGAAAGCGATTGTATTTTAACCTAACAGGAGACAGGCTAGGTGAGACACATGCACGTTGTGCTTGCTCTGGTAACACGTGTGTGCATGCAGATGGATGTGAAACGCTGCATAGCTGACGCCCCCATGACTGGCTCTGAGCGCGTGGTCATCCTATTTCTGATCTCCCTCACCTCAGCTCTCTTGCGTCCTTTGAGTGTACCATTAACAGGTTCATCTTCCTGTAATAACCCTTCCTTCCTCCCTTCTCCTTCCCCTTCCTCTTCCCCTTCCCCTCCCTCTTTTTTTTTCCTTTCCTTTTTTTTCCTTTCCTTCCCCTTCCTCTTCCCCTTCCCCTTCCCCTTGCCCTTCCCTTTCCCCTTACCCTTTTTTTTTTGTCAGCCATCTTCCTCCAAGTTATCAGTGAGGCCCTGCACCAGCGTAGAATTAAAAAAAGAAAATTGTTGAAAGGTCATTGCATGAATAAATGCATGGATGAATTATTTCCTTGCCATTTATCAGCTCTTTTCTTGCATAATGCTAATGCTTAGAAATTAACGTTTTGATAACTATATTCTACTTCCAAAAAATAAAATTACATGTTCAACTTAATTAGAGCTCGCAAAGAGATGTAATGATAAGAGTTGAGTTTTACAGCGATACAGCATCCTAAAAAAACAATGAAAATGTCAGTGGCCTCATGAAATCACAAATGAAAATGGAAAGTGATTTTTTTCAGCAATAATTTATCTGCCATTTATACGACAAAGTACTTAAGTTTGAGAAGCTGAAGAACTTACTTGTTTAGTTGCTTTCAAAATAACAGACTTAGAGTTAACATGAGATAATTCACCCACATTTAGCTAATTGTTAGTGTCAAAATAAAATAAGCAATTGATTAGAAATCTTTCTGTCAATGGATTTGCAGACTCTCAGTTACCTGCTTTATGGTGGCCATAGGATTCTTCCCAAATCAGGGCCTCGGGGACAAAATGCAAGCTCATTTTAGAGTGAATTACAAGTCAAGGTGTATGTTAGCAAATGCCTGCTTTTTTTTAGGGGATACAGTTAGATTCTCACTGAAGTCTCCTGGGATTGAAAATCACAACAATAATGAATCAGATAACTCAAAGACAGATCTTTCCTTAGGAAGAAATTAATTCTGTTAAGGTTCATTGGCAGAACATTGTTTACTTATTAAATTTCTAATGGACATAAGCTTTATAAAAATAGTAAGATAGGCCAGCCGCGGTGACCCACTCCTGTAATCCCAACACTTTGGGAGGCCTAAGTGGGTGGATCACCTGAGGTCAGGAGTTCAAGACCAGCCTGGCCAGCATGGTGAAACCCCATCTCTACTAAAAATATAAAAATGAGTCAGGCATGGTGGCACGCACCTGTAATCCCAGCTGCTCAGGAGGCTGAGACACGAACATTGCTCAAACCTGGGAGGCGAAGGTTGCAGTGAGCCAGGATCATGCCACGGCACTCCAGCCTGGGTGACAGAATGAGACTCCATCTTAAAAAATAATAATGATAAATAAGATAGAGTAAAAACAGCCTCAGAATGTCGCATTGTAGGGAATTTAAAAATGTATACCTTGTATATTGACAAGTATTTTTTCTGTAAAGCTTTTGGGGGGCTATAGAGCGTAGTGCCTCGAGTTCCTAAGGAGATGTGGTTTTGAGGGACTCACTCAGCTTCAGGGCACACTGGAAGTTTCTGTCTTGTTGAGTTCAGTCTTCTAAACTTAAGATGGATAGAAAAGAATTTGATTCACAAAAAAGTAAGTCAGGGAGTATGGTAAAGAGTCTAGGATCAAAATTCTAAATGATTTTAGAAGAGTGTCCAGAAATGCAGTTTGTATAAATGCATCTGCAAAGGAAGGAAATGTACCTGTTTGAGAGCAAAGCAGTGCTCACCATCATGGAACTGAGGGATCAAAATGAACAGTATGTCATTTTGGTTAAAAAGCCAAGAAGCTTCGAAGGAAAAAAACAACACGCTGTGAAAGGTCAAAATCTTCCAATTTGTTCTGTCCCTTGAAGAAGGAATATATCAAGTAAAAATAGGCCTAAAACCCTGGAAATTGAGAAAGGTTAAAGAATTTTGATCCTTCATCCTGGAAGGGAGGAAGCAGTTAGATCTGGCCAAGTGTCCTCAGTCCCTGTCCCCTCTGAGCACAGCGAAAGGGTAAATTACCTAAACTGGAACATATGAAAGTTGAGTGGATAAAAATAACCCTTTCCTAATGTTGAGGGTTATGCAACCACACGTGAGGCAGTGCAGGAGCCTTCCATTGCTGGACACGTTCAAAAAGAGATGGATGATCCAGTTGGAAGTTTTCTGAGGACAGAAGGGTGGAGTTCTTAGTTATTCCACTTTCATAACATAATGCACATTTGTAGGATAAACATAGTTTACAGAGCATTGTAGCGTGTGTCATGGTTTTTCATCTCTGCAGCCCGGGGAGGAAGGTAGTGGATTCTGTGTATCCCACACAACACAGGGAGCATCAAGGCCTAAGGAGTTAAAGGGGTCATTCCATCACACAGACACGCAGTGGCACCTGGGAACTGGCCCTTCCTTTTCTATCTTGTTCGACAGAATGATTCACAAAAACACGTGTGAATATTTTTCTTAAATTGAAAACGTGAACCTCACCGTATAGACAACTCACCGTGAACCTAACAGCTCTGCTTCCAGGAAAACTCAGAGTTTTCCCACCGAACTCACTTCTGGAAAACAGAATGAATACGAGTTTCTTTCTCAAAGGGCATCAGTTTATGAAAATAACCCAGGTCTTAGCCGTGGGTTAGAGGGGCTTTTTCTGGAACTCCAGAGATTGCTCTCTTCTCCTGAGGATCTCTGCTAACTTCCCTCCTTCCTTTTTCAGAGTGAAGATCTGTCTGGCTTTATGACCAGGATGTCACACGTCAGAGAATGTCATTAAAAGAAGATGCTCAGCATTGTTTCAGCCCGAAGCTGCTTACAGTTTTCTTTTGGATCTGAGCAATGACTATGTTTGGAAACATCTGTGGACTCTGTTAGATGAGGCACCAACAAGGCAAGGTCACCTGCCTCTCTCCCTTGTTCCCAGATGGGGCATTCGTCATTGTGCTGTTTGCGTTTTGTTTTGTTTTGTTTTGTTTTGTTTTAACAAAATTAGCTGAAGAAGTTATTCTCAAGAAAATTGGATGTTTTCATTGGCCTTCTTAAATTGTGGCCGGTGTCTTAATTTCTTCTTTTCCTTTTGGCAAAGCAGATGTAACCCTCAGCATGCTAGGAGAGTGCACCCACACCTATGAAAGTGGTAAAATCTGGTATTTACTGGCTTACACTCAAAACGACCACAGTCCTACCTCAGTTCAAGGTAAAGCCGGATTTCCGTGGCGGGGTCCAGCAGGACCTCCTGTAGTAGCCCCTGCGCTGTGTGTCTGGAGCGCGGTCCTCGGCCTCAGTGAAATGGTCCAAGTAGACAGCTGCTGGTTGGATTCCAGTGCAGGCACCTGCCATGTTTACGTCCACACCGAGCCCAGTGTGGGACTGACATTTCTCGATGGAAGTGAAATTTGGGATTGGACTTTAAAGATGGATTACAAAATAATAATTACTATATGTAACTGAAGCAACCTACTTTTGAAACAAATCAGCTGTATTGGGTAGTGGGGGGGTGGGAGGGAAGGGCTTTGGGAAGGGGATGAGTATCTCTTTTTACCTTTAACAGACTTGTTTAATCTTCTCGATGTAGATGTTTATGTAGGTACTTCACATTGCAAACGCCTTTTATTCTATTTACAAGCTCAGATGTCTCTGCTCTCCTGAATCTTGGGCATGCCTTTCTGTAACCAAAAATCCCTGTAGGTGTGCTAGCAATTCCAGGGTGGTCCGGGTGTGGCAGATTTAATTTTTTAAAAAATGTATTATCTTTAATAAAATGTTATTATGTCAACCAGTGAGGCTGCCCTGAACAAAAAACGAAAAGAAAAAAAGAAAAGGAAAGAAAGAAACTGATAAAAAGAGGCATTCCAGCCCCTATGTTGCTGATGGAAAAAGAAAAAGAAGAAAAGCAATCTCGCAGTACATGTTACTTGTCGAAAAAATTCCTGACAAGACTACCCTTGTTTTATGTTTTCAGTATTCTGAAAATACCAGTGTTGTGGCAGTTCTCGCAGACGTTACCTAAAACTGCTGAACTTGACCGGCAGAATGATCTGCCGTTTTCTGCTCCCTCGACACTCAATTGGAGGGCTGTCGACCTCTCCTCCCGTGGGGGCTTCCCCAGTGCCTATCTTCTCTGATAGTCATGGAGAGGTTACACTAATTCATTGGAGATGTAAGTTGTTGGTTTCGTTTTGTTTTTTTTTGAGAAAAATATATATAAATATATAGATATATATCACTATAGAATAATGCATTAATAAAATGAGGCTTTTTTAGAGGAAGACCAAAAATTTCAATGTCTTAAAAATATATTTAATGGCAATGCAAAAGTCTTCCTGCTTCCGTGCTGAACTTTAGAACAGAGGATTGTATTGCAAGACAAAGTTGAATGTAAAGTGATCTCCCTGAACATTTTTAAGGTTTTACTTTTCTGAAATTATACATCACAGCAGCGCCTAGGCCATACAATGTTAGCTGGAAGGTCAATTTCAGTGTATGATGTACTTTATTAAGATGTATAAAACATCCTGAAGTTTTTATTTAGTTTTGGGAATAGGCATCGATGGGTGATATTTGCTTTGTAACTCCCCCCAGGTACGATAGGGACTGAATATGGACCCTGCTGAATGCAGTGTATTGACGCATATTTAACTCGCCCTCTCTCCTTAGAGTAGTCATGACACTATACAGATGGTTCATGTTCATACTGCAGCTTAAAACAAGCAAAATACACAGATGATAATATACTAAATTTTCCTCTATCCTGTACATTTCAAAAAAAGGCATATGCAATATTTACATTTTTAATTTAGTTTACAGAATGGAACCAAAATGTATAAATGTTATGTTTGCTAAAACTTCACAATGTATATTGGGTCTTTGTACATTTTGCCTGACTTACCTTAAATTTAAAATATTTTTTGCTATATAAACTTTAACAGTTATTAAACAGTGTTTTCTTTTTGGGTACGTATTGTTTCTGGATATCAAGATGTTAAATATATTTCTTGCTATTGTGATATGACAAGAGACTTATCTTGCTCTGTCTTCCACTGTACACGCTGTATCTAGGGGTCAATGTGATGCTGCTGGAGGCGAGAATAAACTGGACTAGAATAGTGCATTGTATTTAGTCTGTATTGATCATGGATGCCCTCCTTAATAGCCATATGCAATAAAATAAAGTACATTATTTATGAAATGAATACAGTCCTGAAGATTTTTTCTGTATGAATTCTCCGTTTAACGTAAAGCCAATCTACTTTTAGAGTTTAAACGGGAGTAGTTGAGGAAATAACTAGGCTCCTAAAAATACTTTGATACCTTTTAATTTTAAAACTTTTATTCTGGAAGCCAAAAAATACCTGCCAGATAACAACATTTATGAAAAACAAATGTGTTATAACAACGAAAAAGAATATTCTATTTACAAAACATAGAGTCCTTATGATGTGCTGGATGCTATTCTAAATGCATGACAAATATTAACTTCTTTCTAGCTCATGACAATCTTAGGAGGTAGGAATTGCCATCCTCATTCTGCAGAGGAGGAGCCCGAGGTACGAAAATGCTAAGAGACTTGTCTGAGAGCATGCAGTCCGTGAGTGGTAAAACCAGGACCACTCCCAGCTCTGCAGTCCCGAATCTGCTTATGTGCTTCTGCTTAGTGCTCCCTTCCTGATGTGCACACAGAAGATACACCAATCTGTACATCAGGAATGCTCCCTCCGTGACATGCACACAGAAGAAGATGTACCAATGCATACATTAAGAATGCTTCCTGCAGCCGGGCGCGGTCACTCACGCACCTGGCCGCCCCTGGCCGGCACTTTGGGAGGCCGAGGCAGGCAGATCACCTGAGGTTGGGAGTTCAAGACAAGCCTAACCAACATGGAGAAACCCTATCTCTACTAAAAATACAGAGTTAGCCGGGCATGGTGGCACATGGCTGTAATCCCAGCTACTCGGGAGGCTGAGGCAGGAGAATCGCTTGAACCTGGGAGGCGGAGGTTACCGTGAGCCAAGATCACGCCTTCGCACTCCAACCTGGGCAAGGAGCGAAACTCTACCTCAAAAAAAAAAAAAAAAAAAAGAAAATATAAAACTGATGCCGTGAATTTTTATCCAGGACAGTTTACCTCCTCGCTTGAAACATTTGTCCATATATCCACTTTGCCCTAAAATGATAGTCATGTAATAACGTGTGTGTTATCTTTTGAACAAATAAAATCAGTGCAATTTGGAAAGGTGACTTTTAAATGATGGTTTTTAAGTCAGCAAGATGAGCTCACACTGTGGTGTGGAAACCCGTGGTGGGATAGCCACGTGCTGCATCCCCTGTTTGTGCCTGGATGGTTTGTTCTGGGGGAGCCTGTTAGTCACACAGAGTAAGAGGCCTGATCTGCAAGGCTTGATATACCTGAAATCTGATAACCATTTTAACAACGAAAGGGCAAATGATGCAGTCATTCCACAGGCCTCATCTAAGGCAGGAATGGACAAGTGATTCGCCTGAAAGAGCCACCATGGATAAAGTACAGTGACATGGAGTTGTTTCAAAGGTCCACAGATCCTGGAAATATTACTCAGAACCAATGCAGGGCCTTTTCCAGAATGTTAAGTATTACATGACAAGATATGATGACTGCAGACTGCAATAATTTTGGAAGAATTTGGTTCTAACCCACTGATGGCCTCGACAGGCAGCTTGCAGGAGGCACCTTAGCTCATGGTACTGTCATGATATTTGAGTCCCATCCTTGAGCTGATCTGCAGCTCATCCTTCCTCAAACCTTCCTTAAGCATTGCTTCACAGGTTAGACGGGTTGTTCCTTACTGTGAGTTGTGAGTTAACCAGGGGTAATAGCATTTGAGTGAAGCTAGCATTACTTGACATAGCAACTTTTGGATGGCACCAGTTGAAGGACAGAGCGGATGATTCCTCCACTGAGAATGTGCAGTGTCTCTTCCCTGTCATTGCCCCAGCAGTTTTTCTCTGATTTCTATAACCGAGTGAAATCTGATGTTTATGGTTCTTGCTTTGGCGATGATACACAGATGATAGACCTAGCATGCCACAGTGGATAGCTTGAAAACATTAAGCGTCCCTTTAGGAGTTCCTTTTAGATTTCGACCCTCACAGCCATGTCTTTCCTCTTGTCTCTTCAGCCTCGTTTCCCTCTGCAGATCCCAGTGACCCTAAATAGCAATTTGGTGGCTTCTTGTCTGCTTATCATTAGTGCCTCCTTCATTTCACACTGGTCCCACTTTCCTACCTGAGCTCTCAGATTACTCACGGCCTCTCCGCTGCATCTGGAAACTCTCTGTCCTATTTTAGGCACTTGGTTCCTCTGACAGGAGCTCTGCCTGAGTTTGTGCCTCTGAAGTTTTCTTTTTCTCCATTTCAAAATCCTCTCCTTTCACGTTGGAACTCAAAAAGTTCTAAATTTTTATGAAAATTACTTACACCCCAAGAAACCTACCCCCAACTGTTTTGCAGCCTGTCTGGGTGTGTCAAACACATATCAGAGACTGTACAACATGCTCCTATCTCTCCAGACCTTTCTGGCTATGATACTGTTAATTCTCAGATGACATTGACAGAAAACATACCGATTGATAGATTTTTCTAGAAAAGATGCATAAAAAGTAAAGGAGATGTATGTATTAACACGTGTTTAGCTGCAAGTAATTGAAACCCCAATTCAATGGCTCTTAGCTGATCTGAGCTGCTGTAATGGAATGTCGTAGACTGGGTAGCTTATAGACAGTAGTATTTTTTTTTCCTCACAATTCTGGAGGCTGAGAAGTCCAAGAACAAGCTGCTATAATGTGATGTCTGGTGAGGGCCTGCTGCCTGGTTCATAGACGGCACTTTCTCAGTGCCCTCCCATGATAGAAGGGGTGACCTAGCTCTCTGGGGTCCCTTTCATAAGGGTACTAATCCTGTTCATGAGAGCTCTGACCTCATGACTGAATCACTTCCGAAAGACCCCTACCTTCTAATACCGTCACTTTGGAGATTCAAATGTTAATATGTGAGTGGTGGGAGAACACAGACATTTAGACTATAGCAAGCTCAGAGCAGTAGTTCTCAAACTTCAGGACTTCTTAGAATTATCCGGAGGGCTTGTTAAAAACAGATTGCTGGACTCCACTCCTCGACTCTTCTCAGCAAGTCTGGGGTAGGGCCCCAGAATTTGCATTTCTAAAAATTTCCAGATGCTGCTGATGCTGATCTGGGACCACACAATGAAAATCACTAAATTGCGAAGGGATGTATTAACTCACACAACAGGAAGCCCAGGGCTGGTTAATTAGGCAGCTAAGTGGCGTGCACAGAAGCCCTGGATCTCTTCATCTTTCTACTCAGCCATCCTCCCGATCTATGCTTTCATTTCTCACACTTGGCCCCCTGTGTTTATAAGATGGTTGCAGCAGCTCCAGGCAGCAGATCATCTCATAATAATGTCCAGCGAAGACAGTGTCTCTTCCTTGGGTGTCTTTCTGGAGTGACGCAAATGACCCCAGAGCCACCCACCACCAGCTGCCTGTGCCTCACTACCATTGTCTGGGATTGGGTCCCAAGCTCCTGGTTCCATTGATTATGAGGAAGGAGATGGCTGATTTACACTAAAAGAGATGCACCCTCCGGGGCTGGGAGGTGTCCGCATCCCAGGAAGAGACCATTGAACAAAAGCTGGGCGTTGGAAACCAGGAAAAAGAAGGAATACTGTCACTGCAGTAGCAACTAACAGTGTCTGCTACAGCAGCAGGAAATGAAAGGACCACCCTTTTCAAATGCAATTATATCTCTAATGTATGATCTCCATCTACAGTGATTTTGAAAGGGGGATTTATGATAGGGTAAAAGTAGAACAAAATTATGAATCTAGCGTGATCAAAAAGAGGATGGCGTCACTGGCTTATGTTTGCAGAATTGTTATTTTCCAGACTCAGAGCATAATTCTACCACTATAGGCTTCACATATCCTTGCTTTTGTTATTAAATTCTGTGCAACATGGGAAGCTGTTTTATAAAAGATCAAGATACAAAGGATTGGAAAATTGGATCTTTGAAGGTACATCAAAGAGCTAGGACTATTTAGACTGGAAAAGAGGAAACTATGGTGATTAATTAGCATTGATAACATTAGGGGCTATGGATAAAATAAAGATTAGTCAGCTGACCTTCTCAAAAGATGATAAAGCCAGAGAACACGGTAGACTACAATTAGAAAAAATATGTCCTATTTCCATAAAAAATAACTTGATAATAATGAGGGTTATTAAATATCAACTTTGAAACCATTGTCGATTTCATTGCCTGGAGGCCTTAAAAAACAGGACTTTGCAGCTGTCTTTCTTCGTAGTGATGGGAGAGGGGACATAGACCACATAAACTCGACCGGCTCCTCCTCCCAGGGGCTCAGCATCGCACAGCTGATGAGGCAGCCACCCGCTTTGTTGCTCATGTCAACAGCTCCCCTGGACTTGCACAGGGCATGACCTGCAGCCTAAGATCCTGGCTTCTCTGAGGATGAGAGAACTACTGAGCATTGGATTTAATCAGGAAAAAGAATCGCCATAGTTTATTCTGCCTAATTTAGTCTGTAAAGTGTTTACCAAAATAGTATTTAGGAATCTGAAGGAAAGATCTAAAATTGGAAGGAAAGATCAGAGTGTGAGGTCCATCCTGAATGGTCCAGGTTCATAAGATCGTAAGATCATGCTGATAGAGCAGCTCTAAATCATGTTGCTTAAAGAGATTTTTAAATACAGGACAGCCAAAGTGACAAAGTGATCTTTATCAAATAGCCACGCCCTCTGACTGGCACCTGTAGTCCCAGCTACTTAGGAGGCTAAGGTGGGAGGGTCACTTGAGCCCCAGAGTTGGGGGCCGAACTGCACAATATAGCTAGATGCTGTCTCAAACAAGAAAAAAATAAATAAATAAACGCATGTATAATTCAAATTCTCCTTCCTCCCCACCCACCCATTATCTTTTAGGAAAAGTCAAAATTCCTGAGCGTGGTAGGCCTGAGACATAAGGTGCTATATGAATTGGCTTCTGCCTAATTCCCCAGATGCATCTTCAAGGCCCTGTCCCTCCCCCTCCACTCCTCCCTGTGTCGGCACCTAAGCCTTCCTAGAGCATGTAAAGTGCACCCAGCTCAAGTAAGGAAGAGACATAAAATGAAATGAA